CCAGCACTCCCTAGACATAGCGGCGAGGATCACGCCGCTGGAGGTTGACACCAAGGTGGCCAACGCTCTCCTGGGGGCCGTCACCGCCGCGGCGCTGGCCTCCGAGCTCGCGAGCCGAGACGCCTCCATCTCGGGGCTGCAGGCCTCCAAGGCAGACGCCAGCGCCCTGACTGCTTACGCCCTGCAGTCGGCCGTGGACACCTCCTCGGTGGTGGACTCTAAGATAGCGGCGGCCCTCTTGGACGCTGTCACCACGGCAGCCCTGGGCGCCGCCCTCCTCGGCAAGGCGGACGCAAGCGCGCTGGCCTCCCTGCTCTCCACGGTGGACGGGTTGGACACGCCGCTGGAGGTAGACACCAAGATAGCAAATGCCCTGCTGGGTCTCGCCACCGAGGCCTTCGTCGCAGCGCAGCTTGCTAGCCGGGACGCCAGCATCGCGGCGCTCCAGGGGGCAAAGGCCGACGCGACGCTGCTGGCCTCATACGCCACGAACGCCGCGCTCTCGGCCAGCGAGACCACGCTCCAGAGCGCCCTCGACGCAATCCTCGCGGTGCTCGCCGCCCTGCAGCTTTCCGGCAGCGGCGGAGTTGTTAACGCGCCGGGGGGGGGGGGGGGGGGGGGGGCCTGGGCGGGCTTCACGACTTGGGAGCTCGTTCGCGGAAGTAACGTCGTTCGCAACCTGCATCTCATGGCTCCTCTCTCTGCTGCGCTAGCCAACGGCGACGACACGCTGAGCATCACGGCAGACTGCTACTCCACGGCGGGCACTGACGCCGCTATAACAGCAGCCCTGCTGGCCTACTACACCTCGGCGCAGGTAGACGCGTTGTTGGGAGACTACCGCACAGGGGCAGCGCAGGACGCGGAGACGACCAGCGCCATCACAGCAGCGCTGCTGGCCTACTACCCCTCGGCGCAGGTAGATGCGCTGTTGGGAGACTACCGCACGGCAAGCGCGCAGGACACGCAGACGCAGGCAGCCATCGCGGGCGCGCTGCTGGCCTACCGGACGGGCCCGGACCAGGACGTGTTCACGACCAACCACATCACCTCGGCGCTGGTGGCGTACCGTTCAGCCGCAGACCAGGACACGGCGACGGCCTCGAGCATCGCCGCCGCGCTGCTCAGCTACTACACCATCGCACAAGTAGACGGTCTCCTCGCCGGCAAGCTCGGAGTCACGGAGGCGGCCTCTGCGCTGCAGATAGCAGTGCGCTTTCCGGACGACGGAGGGGCCGACGAGGTGGTGGCCGCCATAGGAGAGCAGATCCTGGGCCCCACGGACGTCTCGCTGTCAAACTGGACGGTTCGCCCCAGCAGCGGCTGCAGTGTGGTCCTGGCCACGCACACCGCGGGCGCAGTGAGCGTGGCACCTACAACTTGACCCCGGGCCGAGAGCTCCTCTTCGCCTGCCGCTACCGGCTCGGCACGGCCTCCAACTTCGTGGTGTACATGTCCGAGGCAGACAACGTCTACGACCCATTGTACGGCAGCTTCGTGGGCGACCAGGGTGCCTGGAGCACTGCCAAGATGTACTTCACAGTGCCTCCGAACGGGGTAGGCGCCGGGCCTGCCCAACCAGACGGCTGGAACGGTGGACGTTTACGGCCTCCAGATCCTGGACGCAACCCTGGAGACCGGCAACGCGGCGGAGGCGGAGGAGGACACGGCGGCCTCGGCGCTGCTGCTGAAGCACGAGTTCCTCGACGGAGGGGCCGACGACGTCACGCTGGCCACCCTGGGAGAGGTGCTGCTGGAGCCCACGCTCACCACGCTAGGCAATTTTCTGGTGTGCTCCAACAGCCAGAGCTCCGTGGCCTCGGCCAGCTTCACGGTGGGAGGCTTCCAGCTGGAGGGCTACGCCATGACCCTGAGCGCTTTCGCCTGGAACATCGTGCTACACGCTGACGCCGGGGAGACGCTACTCCTTCGGCTGCCGGTACAGGCTGGGCACTCCAACTTGGTGATGTACGTCAGCGCGGCCGACAACGACTACGTGGGCGTCACCGGCACCTTCCTCGGCACGGCCTCGCAGGGCGTCTGGAGCACGGCGCGCCTGGACTTCTCGGTGCCGCCGGGCGGAGTTGCAAAGCTGCACTTCGGAGCCTTCGGAGGCTCGATCCCCGGGCTGGTGCAGCAGTCGGCGGGCACGCTGGACCTGTACAGCATGCAGATCAGGGCCTCAGCCTTCGAGGGAGAGTCGGTCTCCGTGACGGACCTGCTGGCGGACTCGCTCCTCACGGGCTCGGCCACGCTGGACGGGCTCACCGCGCAGGGCAACGTGGGCTGCGACCAGCTGCTGTGCAACGACGTGAACTGCACGGACGTGTTCACGACGGGCGTGGACGCCTCAGGCGCCATTTCCTGCGCAGCGCTCCCAGCAACCGGCACCGTCGCCGGAGCCACGCTGTCGTCCACAGGCGCCGTGTCGGGCAGCTCGCTGAGCATCACAGGGGCGGCCAGTGTGGGGCTGCTGAGCTCGGCCACCGGAATCACGGGCAGCACTCTCACCATCAACAACACGCCAACGCCGGGAACTTCACCACGGTCGGAGACGTGTCCACGGGCACGCTGACGGCCTCGGGCGCAGCAACCGCGGCGAGCTTCGCAGCCACCGGGGCGGTCACGGGCGCCACGCTGACGATCACCGGGGCGCTCACGGGCGCCACGCTGACCATCGCCGGGGCGGCCTCCGCGGGCCCGCTGGACTGCGAGAGCCTGGACTGCACCTTCACGTCCACGAGCGGCGGAGTGTCGACGGGCAGCGTGGTCTGCGGCGACGTGACGAGCTCGGGCACGGTCTCCGCGCCGCAGCTCTTCGCCTCCAACACGCTCACCGTGACCAACACCTCCGACTTCTCGGACGATCTCTTCCTGACGAAGAACTGGGCGGGCTGGAGCAAGCTGCAAGTGTCCAACAACAGCGCGGCCTCCGACAGCGGTCCGGAGCTGCGGCTGCTGGGCAACCAGAGCGCGCGGGTCTTCCTGGAGCGAGACGGCGGGGCGCACCAGTGCGAGCTCATCATGATCAACGACAAGGCGCTGGTGCAGACAAACCCATAGCAGCCGCATGTGTATCTGCGGCGCCTGTAACCGAAGAGAGGTGCTCCTGCACGCTAACCCATGGGGAGATAAACCTTTCTTGGAAGAAGGTGCTTATTTGCAGCTGCCACTTCGCTTTAACCGTATTCTCTGGCACGGGCATCATATATATGGTTCCTCTCGAGCGATGCTTCACAACACATCTCAGCATCGCTACGCTGCGCAGCGCATCTCAACATAGCCGTGCTTCGCAGCACATCCCAACACGCCTTGCTGCACAGCGCATCTCAACATATCCTTGCGGCGCAGGAGATCTCAACATAGCCTTGGACCTCACATATTCTATGTCACGGTTTTTCTTTTTTGCTTTTCATGAAAGGCAGGTATATTTATATTGGGAATTAAGGCATTGTAGGGGCGGAGTTTTACAAGGTGGGGTCCCGTGGTTGTGGGCGCGCTTTGCCTTTAGCTCGTGCCTCGCTTTCATCAAGCTGGCTCAAAATGGCCCCCCGGAAAAAACCAGCTGCAAAGGCAGCGCCTGTGAAGCGGCCAAGTGGGCCATCTGGGTGGCAGCGGTGGCGCAACAAAGCAACAAAAAAGGAAGTACGTAGCCAAGGTTCCCAAACAGAAGCCACCACTGCTGAGAAAGCCACCCAAACGGAACCAAAAGAGAAAAGCAGGGATCACCTTGGCCTGGTTGTGCCGCCTTTCCCTGCGAGCTGGATGGGAGAAGCGCCCAATCAAGGACTGCGAAACACAATTGTTTCCCACCCCTACATGGTTTTGGTCAGGCTCTGCACGGCTAGCCCTTCGTCGGTGAGATGCCCCTCAGAGGTCCAGGCTCGCTCCCCGCCACTTTTTTTTTTCTCCCACATTTCTGCCGCAGGTCTTCTCCTTGCTCTACAAGAGAAAGAGAGGTCCGCCCAGCCCGCTCTGCCTTTGGCATGGCATTGCCGCTATAGGGTTTGCGCAACCAGGGTTTATCTATTGATGCTGTAGCATTTTGGCTGGGTCTTGCTTTTGAGTAGCAAAATGGTGAAGGGGCTGCACAAGGCAAAGAAGCCTCCAAAGGCCAAAGCTGTGGCCACAAAGTTCAGGCCTTCCGCGGCCTCGCTGCCAGAACCCTTTGGACAAATGCTTCTTGATTCAATTTGGCCTTCATTCAAATATAGGTTTATTTGAACTTGCGGATCATGATCTTTTTCATGTGAGACCGTGGCCGGCGGGCCGCAACTCAGGCTGAATCTCATGATTCGGGCTGGGCTGCCGTTCTGCGTCCTGGCGCTTGCCGAGATGGTGATGCTCAACATGACCCGGCCCGGGTTGGCTGCCGGCTTGCATTGGCAAACATGTTGGACCAGTTCATCAGCTAAGCGCGTGAAACAGTTCTGTGATTCACGTTTCTGGGTCTCTGTGCCGCATTGATGAACTGTTTTCTGCGATTGAGGATCTTATGAATGTGGAACAGTTTGCTGGAGCCAAAACAATCCATGAAGCCTTCAGGCGGGCCTTTCTCAAACACTTGTTACAATCGATCTTGCTTCTGGCAGGAAAATGGGCCACAGCTCCGCATCCTTCGAATTGAAGGACGACCCGATGCAGAACATGTGCACGGGAATCGGCTTTGCGTATTCCATGAGTTTAGCGATCAGGCTTTTCAGAAGAGCGACTCGTTTGAACAAACTGCTCATGCTGCATGGCAATGCCACAAACAATTGTTAGAGTGAGTGAACCCCTTTGCAGCCCAGGGTGGTCTGAACTGGTTTGCTCCAGTATGTTCTACGTGGACTTGGGTAAACAGGCAGGCGCATTGGAAGATGGCACTTCAACACACTACCCCAAAACCACATGAGTGACTGAGACGAGGTCAACATCAGGGCGATCAAAGGAGCGGCCGTTGGGGAGGCAGCGACCAGCAAACATCCAGGGGACCCTTGGCTTGCAACTACTTCGAATCGGTCCTGCTGCATGCGTGCACGCAGTTGCAAAGCAAACTCATCATTCGGCCTGTGCAGCGGCTCAATTTTGAGACATGGTCTTATATGATTAGTCATCACAACCTCAAACAAGAATTATTTCACAATGTGTCAGGGTTTCAGGGACCCAGCAACTGACTACATCACCACATGCTTCAGCCCCTTTTCACAACCCTGCTCTAAATTCATCAAGCACCCTCACTTGTTTTGTTTTCGCATTTCTGAGCCATGGAAGCCATCGTTGGGTTTCGCGCCGACGATGAGAGCGTGGAGACGGATTCTCAAGCAAGCGAAGGGGAAGATTTGCTTAAGGTGATGAAAGATCACATTGAGGAGCTCCAGGCTGTTGGGATTGTCCTTTACTCGTACATTCCCGGCCCCCTCAAGGACGAACAGGGTGAAACAAAGTGGGTTCCTTTGCAGGGTGGGTTGCTACATGTACATAAGCCAAGGGTTCCCATGTTTTCGGCATGCGGCGCAGGAAATGGTGGAAACTCCTGTCGGTGTGCAGCAAACGCAGACGCTCATCAAGGGGGAGTTCATTTCAAGATGCTCAGAAAGAGACTTGCTACTTCCTTAGTTTCACCTTTCACCAACACAAACAGTGCGCCCTTTCACCACCCCCAAAATTGCACCTTGCTTCGCATGGTTTCTGAGGCGGGAAAACAACTGGCTACTCCATGGGCTGCTGAACCACTTCGAGGACTTTTGCGAGCGTTCGCCATCGAAGCAGGAGCTGAACATAATCCTGGAACAAATGAACTTGTGTGCAAAGGCAGGGTTGGCTTTTGCCTTGTTATCCCAGTTTTTTCGTTTATCACCCATTGAACCATGTGACATGGGCCTCGCGTGCAGGGACTTCTCTTCCGAGCGCCCCCGGGAACAGTGCCTCAGCAAGAACGAGCGAGAGTGTGCCTTGCACAGTTGACATTGTGTTCCACCCACTTGAGGCTATGAGCACCGTTCTTGATGCTGAAGCTCAAAAATTCAAGATGCTGTGGTCCTACTTGCGAAAGCGGGGATGTGCCAACACACAACTTCATTCACATCGCAATTTTGATTGTCATTCCAAGCTTTAGCGTTCACCTGTGTTTTATCCCTGAAGGCTATGGCGAAATACGGGTGACTCGCATTGCCCCGTGGTGGCCGAGCTCAAGTCGTTTATGAGAAAGCCACTGCCTGAGAACCTCGACAACTCGCCACCTGCAGAAAACCCAGAAGAAACACAACAGGACTGTTGGCTTTCGGGGTGGGCTTTTTTTTGGGAAAACGGGCGGTGCATTGGTCTTGCGCAGGAGAAAGCCGGTGAAAGCTCTGGGGATGACGTCAGCCCGGACATTTGGAACGTGGTGGCTTGGCTCCAGATTGATTCGTTCGTGCTGCTGGCAAATTGATTGTTATTGCAAGGTCCTCAAAGCTGCCCCGTCGAGCCCTATCCCAGAAACGAAGAAGATGCCAAAGAAGAAGGCTGAAACCGTGGTTGACATTGATGCGTTGGAGGATTTGTTTGAGCCAGAGGCCGGGTGTGACCATCATCTTTCAAAACTCTGCTTGTTGCAGCACCCTTTGACCCAGTATTTTTCCTTCACTTTGTACTTTGTGCAGGCGCCTCGCGGCTTCAACGACGTGGCCAACAGCCTCAACCCTCCCACACCAGAAGATGGTCCTTCAGGCTGGCAATCTTTCACTCATGCTTTTCGGGGTTGAAGTTGGAATGATCAAGTTTTCATCATGAAGCTTGCCCACACAAGGCTCCGATGGAAAAAGAACAAAGCCGGACGTCCCAGAAGCCCCTGCTGCTAAGCGAAAGAAAAAGGGTGCCTCACTTGCATTGGCTTTATGAGACAGTGGTTCTGTTAATCAAGACCCCTTTTACCCGGTCATGGCGCTCTGAGCTCTGAGGTCCCGCAGCTGACAAGGCCAAAGCCAAACCTGCGGAGAAGGCGGCGGACGATGTGCCGTTTATGGCCTCGTTTGACCCATCCTACCATGCGGAGCTGAGAAAGCTTCCACGTGCAGCGTGGCCGCAATCTGCAAAGCACGGCCGGCATTCCTACACGGTCAAACTGCCTTTGCCTTATTTGCTCATGCAAGTTGTCAATGACCCACCCATTAAGGCATGCGTGGATTTGGGGAACTAAGGGAGGGCTCCGAAGCTCGGATCGAGATCTTGTTGCGCCAGATGGCGTTCAAGCCGAAGTTGGATGAAAATGGGGTGCGGGTGGAGGGGTCTTCGTGCCCCATCTGCATTGGGAATTGCGCATGCATGAGTGAGGTTTCAGTTTGATCGCACTCACGGCTTTCTAAGGCTGTCGTTCAGGCACCTGAAAGCGTGGGATCTGGCTGTCAGCCGCACGCGAGAGCCGGCTGATGTGGATTGAGTTTTGAACTGTGGCGAGCGATGGGGAAAAACCGCGCCTCCATTTTGTGCACTGCCAGCAGCAGCAGCATGATGGCCTTTGCACGCGTGGGTCGACTGGGTGCTTGATTGGGCAGCCAAGGAACCTTCAAGTGGCCAGAACCTGTCTGGAGCTGCTGATCGCAACTTGCCTTGGCTTGCCTTGGCACCTTGTTCGCAAGAAGCCAATTGCGACAATTGATTGACTTGACAACGCGTGTTTGACCAACTCAGGATTTTGGAGCAGCCACAAGGATCTCTTCTTCAGTATCATCCACTGTTTGCATTCCTTTGCCGCAAATACAAGATTCACAAGGCGGGTTCCCTTGCAGTTCATTGCTCAGAGATCGACACAACATGTTTGAGAGTTGCGTTCCTGGTTGAGGCCTTCATCTGGCTAGGGGCCTATGAGGGTAGCCGAAGTGCCTTTGCGGCACAAAACGTGCACGTGGCAGCACATGTCAAAGTGGAGAGGGTTCCGCCTTTTGCCCCCTAAACTGTTGTTTCCAAGTGTCAAACCCAACAGTTTGAGGCCCGAAGCCAACACTGCTGTATAGCAACTACGGCTTTATCTCCAAGCTGTACCGGCCGCTCCCTGTGTGCAAACGGAAGTTTGATGCAGAAATCACACGAAGGCCTTTGGGACTCTACTTGCTGTAAAGAGCAAGCTTTGGCAAGCGCTTTTGATGTCAATGTAAACATGTTTGCCAATGGCGTCACACGCGCAGGTATGTGGATTCACGCGGCGTTCCCCGCGTATGTGGGGGAAAGGACCTCAAGAACTCGGAGAACTATCCATGCTCTTTTGGGGCTTCCGTGGCATCCCTCTTCATGGAGCACCGTGCCATTTGGCTGCACATAGCATGGAGTCGCAACAGCGTCAGACACCTAAAGGAGGCTTTTTAGCAGATGTGCAAACACTCTGTCTTTTCCCATTGGCCTCCGCCGATTTTGCATGCAAGGATGAGGTTCTGGCAAATGTGGCCCGCGTCAAGATGCTTGGTTTCAAGAATGGAGTGATGACTCAGCATGACTCAACCCTTAATTAGTGGGGCTCACCGTCAATCTTAGGAAGGAACTTCTGGCAAAACCGCGGAAGCCAATGAGGGCTGCTTGGCTGACAGCAGTGGGCATTTCTTTTCAACAGCGAGGGTCATGTTTATAGGCCAATTACATGTGTGCTAAACACACACACATGTTTCCATACACATAGCGCATGCATGCATTGAGTGAAAGCAAACACGTTGATGATAGCTTTGCGTTGCCCTGATGTTGAAAGGCCCCCCGCCTACTCTCGCCTGCCAGTGAGGTCCGCTCGTGCCAATCGGTCTTTCACCCTGTCAAACTTTGAAAGCTAGATTTCGCCAAATAAATGTCTACTTATACAAAGAAACTGCGCCCCCAAATGAGGACGTTGCTCATCATGGTAGTTCTGCAGCTATCGAAGAATTTGCTGACCAACCTTCAAGGCATGCCCTCTTCTGGTTTCTAGGGTTCCGAAGTAACCTCAGCCATTCCAAAGAACGTTGAAGTCAAACGTGTTGACTCGGTTCATCACATCACATGTTCGATTGAAACATGTATTCGCTTATATGTTGGGAGGGATCCGACTGCTTTGCACGCGTCCTGCCGACTCCCGTGTTTGACATGTGTTCATATATATATATATTATATATATATATACCAATTTAGGAATCTTCAAAAGCATGCGACACGTATGTTTTGTTTGTACCAATATTATGTTGGTTGTTTGAGCGGCTCAAGAAACTTCTCGGATGGCTGTGTTCCACAAGATTTCCCGGTTGTTCTCGGAGTTTCTCGGACTACACGGATCAGCGAAATGTCTCGGAGTTTCTCGGATATATTCCTGTATAGATATATGCAAAGTTTCTCGGAGTTTTGCGATTCTTTGCGAGTGGGTATATTTCTCGTTTCTTTGCGGATTCTTTCCGGCCACAAATCTTTTCGGCTTTCTCCGGGCTGTACCCGGCCAGGAAATTTCTCGGAGTTTCCCGGGCAAATTCCGAGTTGCCGAGCTCAAGAAACTTTGCGAAGTTTCTCGAATGCTTCCCGCAGAAGAACCAAAGTGAGAAATTTCTCGGCAGTTGCACGGCTAGACCGCCAAACGAAAATATGTTCGTGTGTTTTTTCGGTTTTTTTCGCCTGACTCAAGAAACTTCTCGGGCGCGGGGCTGTCTTTTTCGGCTACACGACCCACACAATTTCTCGGAGTTTCTCGGAGTTTCTCGGACAGCGCGTTTGGCAAAAATTCTCGGAGTTTCTCGGATATTCCTCGCACATGCAAAGTTTCTCGGAGTTTCTCGGATATTCCTCGCACATGCAAAGTTTCTCGGAGTTTCTCGGATATTCCTCGCACATGCAAAGTTTCTCGGAGTTTTGCGACTCTTTGCGGCCAGAAAAACTTCTCGGTTTTTTTCGGATAGTTTTCGACCACAAATATGTTCGATTGTTTTCGGGCCGCTCCCGGCCAAGAGTATTTTCGGATTTCTCGGGCAATTCTCGAGTGGCCGAACCTTTTCGCATTTAGAGGTTTTGAATGCGTGCAGGTGTATATATATATATACAGTATTGAATATGCAGTTGGATCACGGCACGCGGGACTACTTCATTAGATACACATATGTGCCGAGCAAATATGATGACACGGTCAATGACTGCTGGCCCCTGAAATGTCCTCATCACATCCAGGTTGAGAAACCCTGTGCTCAAAAGCCTTCACTCAAAACTCTTTTGCAACCTTGGCCCTTTCAGATTTGGCTTTCTGGCTCCTTTCGCAAGCGAGACCCACCTAACACAGACAGGGCAACCCCCTCCATGACCCCAAAAGCCGGACTATGTGTGGGGGTTTGCCAACTGGGGATGGCATGAAAACGGGTACTGAAGTCAGAATCCATATGCTGTGAAAATAAAGAGCTGAATCGACCTCCTCAACCAAATTAGTCCCCCCAACCCTCAAAAGCCATTCCCTTTCCCGCCGATCTGAGGATCCAGGCTGGAGCAAATCGGCAGATCTCCGGGCCGTCTTTGAGGCCTTGCGGGCAAAGTGAGGCCCTTTAAAACGAGTATTCCAGGGGCTGCTTTTTGGGTTACCCTCTCAATTTCTCATTCCCAGTAGCCCCAAAAGCGAGAAACCACAATCCGAGAAACTGGGTTGCAATTGCCCGAGAAACTGGCCGAGAAATTAGGTGGAGCGACATGCAGCAAATTTGTAATTCAGGGGTGTCGACATGGTGCCATACACATGCTTGGTCACCCGCAAAAAACCGAGAAACCCCGAAAAACACCCGAGAAACCCCGAAAAAACCCGAGAAATCCCGAAAGATTTTGTGGATTCAAGATCCTGAAGCCCATGTGTGGACACCCCAGAATGCACCGACCGCCCGCCCGGGGTAAGCTCGGGCCTGCTCGATCGAGGGCCTTCGCGCCTGCGCCGCAAAAGCTGCATCCGAAACCGGAATGAGGTTGCGACTTGTCAGTTGGGGGGATGCAACTTTTCTGGGTTGGGGCAGATGCGACTGTTTGGTGGTTTTGTGGGGGTGGGGGGGGGAGTGGACATCGTAAGGTGCATTTGTCCATGTGCAAGATCTTGGCTCTGCTTGGCTGGTTGCTGGGATCGACCATGGGGGTCCCGAAGGCCCCGAAAAGGGGAAAGGGTCCGGATTCGAGGGTGCTGAAGAAGGCTGCTGTGGCCATGAAAAAGCAGCCCAGCCGCAAATCGGCTTTGAGAAGCCCCTCACGTGGTGTGGAGCCAAGCAAGGTTTCCAAGAAGGCAAAGTTTGTGGAGGCCAGGTTTACCAAACCCATCCACCGATACCCAAACTACTTTGGATCTTAGGTCTCAGTACTGCCCAAAAAGATATCACCGCATTTGCGCATGTCAAAACCGGTGGGAGTCTGCATTTATTCTTTGTTCAAATCGCTTGGGCAAGCATTGCTGCAATTGCACATTCTGTCAAACATTACTTGGGGGCTCTGGTCAAACATGATAGGGGCTCTGGTCACTCTTTCCTGGTCCCCTTTCGCGCGATTTGGAGGACGAACAGAAAGCGAAGCTGAGAAAGGCGAAGAGCGAGTCCAGCGAAGAGGGCCCAGCAGGAGGAAGCAGCAGCAGCAAGGTGCAAAAGCGCTTGAAGCAGGCACGCATGGAGGGGCGGCGCAGCAAGATCAGCAAGGCGCTTGCGGACACAGACTCTGAGGAGGCAGGTGAGGAGGCAAGTGATGCCTCGTCGGAGCAGCTCAAGGGCGAGAGAAAGCGCGCAAAGCGCAAGGCGGAGGAGGGTGCCGGCGGAAAAAGCAAGGTGAAGAAAACTACGGAGGAGGAGGAGGATGAGCAGGAGCAGTCGGAGGGCTCCGAAGCCCAGGAGCTTTCGGAGTGGGAGGCCGACGAGGAGCAGAAGCCCGAGACGGAGGAGCGCCGCAAGAAGTGCAAGGAAGCAAGCACTGACGAGGAGTCAGGTTCTGAGGAGCAGGAGCAGGAGGAGCAGCAGCAGCAGAGCAAGAGGGGTGCTGCCCACAAGGCCAAGGAGCCACAGGGCAGCTCAGAAAGTTCCGGCGCAGCAGAGTTGGAAGACGAGGAGGAGAATGAGGAGCAGGAAAGCGAGGAGGAGGACGAGGAACAGGAGAAGAAAGGCAAGGCGCTGGCAGATGCGGAGAATGCTCTTGCCCTGGCCAACCCGCCCAAGAGCACGCGCGTCGGCAAGGATGGCAAGGAAACGCGAAATTCCAACACTCACCGGAAAGAGTACCATGCCTTCACCAGGCCTGCTAGAATGCCCTTTTGCTTTGTTTGACTCTTGGGTGTGTGAAAATTGCAATCTTTCACCAACTTGGGAGGTGGGTCAACAACCCGAAGCGGCTACCTGCAAAGCTGGTCGAGGCGGTCCAAACCAAGGACTCTTTCATGCTAGGGGAGCCTTCCATATTCCGATCCATACCCGTATTTCGCCTTGTCCAGGACGGTAGAGACCGCCTGTTTCTGGACTATCTTGATGCCGGCGGCAACCCCGATGAGATCCTGTCGCGCTTCACCAAGCGAGTGGAGGAGTCGGTCAAGTCAAAGCTGAAGTGGGGCTTTAAGCCCAAATCTTTCTTGACCGAGCGGTACGGGGAGGCAAAGGGCGAGAGAATCGCAACAAAGAAGAAAGACATGGGGCTGAATCTTGGTCTGTTGGTTTTCCTGCCTCAACATTAAAACTACATCACGGTAGTCGCACCAACCCAAATTGTTTGCAGAAGGCTTTGAAACAGAAATCCCCAGCTACCCAGGACAATTTCGGACCCCAATGACGTTGATGATGGCACCTCCCACTTGTATTTCGTGATGGTGGATATGGATATAACCAATTCGACGGACTTGAGATCCATCGTGAACATGGAGCTTGCTGGAACCCTCGACAAGGAAGCAATCACCCAGTTCCAGAAGGCGTGTGTTTTGTGTTTTCCACCATTCACCCCTTGAAACCCACTAGTTCCAAAGCACGCCCAAGTTCGCTCAAGGCTGGCGGCGTCTTTGACGCGAACAAGATGCTGAAGATCCAAGATATGGGGTCCCCCAAGGCCCCTGAGCAGCTCTTGCAACTTGCTAGCTCAGCCAATGCTGGGAAGATCGCCAAGAAAGGCAAGGGCAAAAAGGCTTTGCAAGACCATGAGGCGACAACAGTAGCGCCTTGTTTGAGTTAGTTCAGGCTTGTCAGAACCCTAGTTGGGCCCATCGCTCAAATTGGTGTCGAGGTCACTCCAGAATCGGCCCAGCAAAAAGCACAAAGGCTGGTTGAGCGATGCTTGCGAGAGGCAAACACGTGCAGGCCTGGAATGCAAAACATACATGGTGGTTCTTCCCCTTTTCAAATGTGAAATTGTCGCAAAGCCTTGGCAGGGACTGCGTCTTCAAGATCACCCCTCTCAAAGTGTCGAAAAACCTGATCCGGCAGCTCACTTCCCTGGATGTGGCCTTGAAGAAGCAGGCCACCACTCTTCAAGCCTTGATCCGCGGCGGCAAGACCAAGAACAAGCACTACACTGAGGCTGTGCAGGAGGCCGAGTGTAGTCAACGTGCGGGGGCTACCCTTGTTTTGTTCGCATCATGTTTCAATGTCAGGTTGAGAAGGTCTTCGAGCGAGCCAAAGAAAAGATCGAGCTTGCAAAGGCATTGATCCGTGCGGCCGAAAAGGCCAAGGACAAGGAAAGCAACAAGAAAGATTCCAAGCCCAAGTGAATCTTTTTGAACATGGCTGAGCCCGACCCATTTACATCAGGAAAGCCCGCAAATTCCTTCCAAACCTGAACAGTTTCCAAAAATGCAAGTGTTCTCCATGCACGATGGGTCATTTTGGGCCAGCTGTGGTGTAGAGCGTTTTTTGCAGTAGAGGTGCCACGAAAGGTGCAGAGGCAAAACCCGCATGGCAAGCTTATTGATGTGATATATAGACAACCCAGCGCGAAAATCCAAACTAGATGTGGGTTTAGGGGGCCTCCTTGTCACCTTCACAACGGTAGACCACCTCGATGCGTGCAATCCGCGAGGAAAATGTTTGCACAGATCGAGCGGTTGCAGCCAACAGTTACAAGCGTGTGTTGCAGTAGCTGGCCACCATTTGCCCTCGCAGGAAACATCGTGCGCACGGCCCAGCACAACCGCCAGGCCGTTTGGCTTGACATGGCCTGACCCTTGATTGCATGTCGGGCAACTTGTCAAGGGGGCGCAGAATCACAACCTGTTGAGCTTCGTCGGGAAGGGCGGTCTCGATCCAGATCACCCAGAAGGCGATTTCACCCCAGCATTCATGTTTTAACAGTTGTCAACATCCAAGTTCAAACGCACTTTCAACGGGAGAGATTTGCCAGGAATAGAGGCCTTTGCCATCCTGCACACCAAGAGCCAGCAGGCACTTCCGGGGTTTGGGGTTTAGAGTCATTGGAACACGGGTGACAGTTTCCCAGGCCCATCGAGATCTACAAGAGGTACAGTAGCTGACCAGCCTGCTTCCCAGAAACTTGCTTCAAACCCAAATTTGGCTTTGCCCCCCACATATCATTGGCGGCTGAGGCTTCACACAACCAGCTTTGTCCAGCTTGGCCCTTGCCTCAAAGTTAGCTCCCACTTCATTTGCAGCGTTTGCGGAGCTTGCTTCTTAACATCAGGCAACGTTCTCACTAGTACATCTCGGAGCGCAAGGAGAATCTTATACAAGATCAGCTTGGGGGACTGCAGAAAAAATTGGGGGGCCTTTGAGGGAAGGGGTTGGCTTTGCCTTTGAAACTTTGGTGGCGAAGGACCTATCCATCGCAGAAGGGGCCCGCGCTGCCCGCGACATCACCGATGATGGATTTGCTTGCGACCTTCTGCTCACGATTGCCGGGTGGGGCTCCGCGCCGGGAAGTGAAGAGCGAGCGTTCTCCAGGCCTGGGGTCGAATCGGAGATAACAAGAGTGCTCTTTCTTGTTACGGGGGCTCAAGTTTTGGGAATCCAGTCACCAGTATAACTGTGTTTGGGTCTTCTACTCTGCCTGAAGGTGGTGCAAAAGATCGTGTACCCTCCACCCAAGTGACACTGATGTGACTATGGATGTGCCTCAACAGGATGGGTCATCTAAGATTGCAAAGCACAGGATGCCTATACTATGGCCTTGGGACACTTTGGATTTGCTGCATGAGCAGGGGCGCATTGACAGCTTCATCACCGACCACCCTGACCCCAGCGTGAGAACACGTTTGTATTGGCAAAAGTCTGCCCATTTAGATTTCACAAAAGATTTGGACCTGAGTGAGCCTGCCCGCACCATCCCTCTCTGTTGGCACAATGACGGGGTGCAAATATATCGCAACCAGAAAGCACACGTGTTTTCGTTCAGCGCTGCAACATGCAAGGGCCCCACGCTCTCTACCAAAATGGTTTTATGCGTTGTCCGCGATGCCATGGTCTTGAAGCCAGACACTTTTGATGAAATAGGGCTCTTGGTCAAGTATATTATGGACTGCATGAGCCTCGGCGTTTACCCTCTTAGAAACGAACACGGTGCCGAGTTCGAGCCCGGGAGCCGCGAAAGAGACCGAGCCGGCCAGCCCTGCAAACATGGATGGCGTGCAGTTTTTTCTGCTTGGAAAGGGGACCTGGAAGCAAGAGTTTCGACTCACAAGTTGCTCCGGAACTACATGGCCACCAACATCTGCGAGCACTGCTTGGCGGGGCAAAAAGGGCTGTTTCCATTTCGGGATTTCAGCCGAGATGCAAATTGGCGCCAAACTCTATTGACCCATCAGCAGTTTCTCGATCTGAATCCAATTGACAAACAGTCAGTGTGGGCTGCTATCCCTGGGTGGCGAAAAGAACGGAATTTGGAGGACCTACTGCACCTTCTCCATCAGGGAGTAGCGCCGACCCCTGCATTCATATGGCATTCTTTATGGCAACGTTTTAAATGAACCGTGCCCCCCTAAAAACCATCGCTACATTCAAGGGAACTTCTATATCTTCTATCAGACTACGTTTTTGTTTTTTGGGAGGGTCCGCCATGCAAGGATTGCAATTGCTTCGTTGGTCATCGACTCCATTGAAAGTCGTTTGGGACCTGGAAAGACTTTGCCTGCAGTGGGGGATGAACTATCGAGGGCTTTTGAGCACTACAAGAGCTTTTGCAGGCAGCGCAAGGTTTCCGCAGTCTCTTTCCGATTCAACTTGGTCAGGTTTAACCGGAAGCAGTACACCCATTTCCCAGTTCTGGCTTCGTGTTGCGAGCCTACAGTATAGTGTCCAGCATGGTCTGAAACTCGTTGCGGCTTTTGAGTTTTGAGGGGCCTAGGGATGAGCAATGTTGGTACGCACTTGTTGTCAGTAGACTCAGGCTACAAAGCTGCTGTAGTCAAGTTGATGATCTATTGGGCGGCGGATTACCTCAAGGCTTTCCAAGATGATGAGCCAGGGAAACTTCGAGCTTGCTGTGCCTTTGCTATGGCTCGGTTTCAAAACATATTCGATCGCTTCTTGGCTACTTTTGAGTCAGCCGATAAATTGGCCCCCGCACCATGTTGGCCGTTCGATTGCTGCAGCCTCAGGATCGCCCGAGTGGCTTTCTGATTCTGCCCGTCGAGAGGCGCCAGAGCAGATTCAAAACTTTTTGTTGATGTACCAAACTTTGGCGGCAAATGCGCAATCTGCCGGCTTGTGCAACTATCATCTTGTACCAAAGTTTCACAACCTATCCCATTTGGGCGGGTACATCCAGGAAAGTGGAAGAAATCCGCGCTTTGACCATTGCTATTCTGATGAGGGGCTGATGGGATTTGTGTCCAAAATCGCCTCTGCGACTCATGCCTTAACCATGGATCGGAGGGTCCTTGAAAGATACAGAGCCCTACTGGATATGGTACAAAGTTTGCTCAAACGTTGGCCACTCAGAGCCACTCGCCAAGCCCCGAGCTGAAAAGATCCACCAGCTGCTGTAGGCGTGCCATCGGTGCGGCCCGGCATGTTGTTTTGCCACAGGGATTTGCTGTTGGCTTCAATCAATGTGTCACCCAGCGCAGTTGTCAGTGACAAGGTGTTTGCAAGGAAGGCTCACTCAGCAACCAAACATTTTTTCGGGGGACTTGTTGGCAATGCAATTGTCAATGCACATTTTCAGAACCAGCAGAAGCGCATGTCAAAATGGGCCTGTGGTTATCCAACAGTTTTCAAAAGAACATCCATCTCACAAACAGCGCTTGGGCTTTTTGAGAAGTTGGGATGGCTCATGACACGGCTGGCTACCCTTTGCACACAGATTCCCGAAAAAAACATGATCAGGATTGCTGCTCTTTTCGTGGACACTTGGAAACAGGGCCCATGTTACTACAAGGGATCATGATCATGCCAAACCGCCTTAAGCCAGGGAGCGAAAGTCGTGCAATTACTGTGGATCCTTCGTCATGCAAATCGAGGCCAAAACAGTGAGAAAAGAGGCTGCCTTTTTTTCATTGGCCGGGAAAGCAAAATGATAGATTGGAAACAGGGAAAGCACCCTTTTTAGTTTAGACATCGCTGTGCATGACAACAGCAGGCCCGATAGGCACCCCTTTTGTTTTGCTGGCAATTGGTTTCAAGAAAAACTCCACCCCAACAATAGATATAAAGAACAACCCCAAAAACATTCGATGTGGCGCTCTTCAAGGCGGAAGCGCGCACACATGCACACGCCTAATTGTTTCTCAAACTGGACCCGCAAAATGTGTTGCTTCCTTTTGGGGTTCCCTTTCAAACGGGTCGTTGCCATGCAGGAATGTAAATGACAACTCTCAAGCGTTTCCTGTGACAAACAAATGAACACAGAAAAGCCACATATTTTATTTATATGTACAAATATATATATATATATATACATGTGGTTCTGACGACTTTCTACAAACCGTGCAAACAAACCCACGTACATGTTTGGAGACCCGGGCGGGCGTGGGGTGGGGGGGTGGGAGGGGGGGCGTTTGGCTCAAGCTTGCTACTACAAGTTGCAGCTTTCTGTCTGCGTCAGCCAAAAAAATACTGCACGCTGCAGCTTTCTGTCTGCGTCAGCAGAGCCCAAAAAGAGAAACACACCGACTAGGCTGTCCGGACAGCCGAGGCAGGATGCGCCAGGCGCGCAGGAGGCAGCACGCGCCAGGCGCGCAGGCAGCACGCGCCAGGCGCGCAGGAAGGACGCGCCAGGCGCGCGGCGGAGGACGCGCCAGGCGCGCAGAGAGGTCGCGCCAGGCGCGCAGACATGCGCGCCAGGCGCGCAGACAATACGCGCCCGGTGTGCATTTATAAACGCGTCAGGCGCGCAATATAGCGCAAAACGGTCGGCAGGATGTGCCATTCGCGCAGCCCATGACAGATTTTCAGCTTGGCAGAGAACACCTTGCGGCCGTGTAAGCGGGCGCGCAGCGATCATGCATGGGTTTCATATAAGCTTTACACGACAAAGGTGTAACTGAAACGCCTTCATTGTTAGGGGTGTTGGAGATGCGACTTCGGCTGCTATGGGAAGAGCCTCTCGACGCAGCTGTCCTTGACCACGAACCAGAGGAACCCCGGCTGCCTCGTGATCGCAGGCAACGCGGGCAACGTGGTCTGCAACACGAGCTTCACGAATTTGTCGGACAGCAGGGTGAAGACGGAGATGACTGAGGCCGACGTGGCAGAGCTCCAGCAGACTCCGTGGAGGCCAAGCAGTTGAACGAGGACCTGAGGCTGGGCTTCGCCTCAAACGACTTCGCAGGAACGAAGTGGAAGAACCTGACGGGCACCGCAAGGTGGAGCGACGGCACGGAGATGGTCACCCTCGACTACTCGCACCTCACCAGCGTGCTCTGGGGGGTGTGCAAGGGCTTCCAGGGCTGGCTGGACGAGGTGGAAGCCTGGCAGGCCCAGCGGGGGCAGAACCCTTAAGAAACATGGCTGACGCTCGCAGACAAACCATCAAGGCCGTCTACGAGGATCCCCGCACAGGCTTCGGCAGCATAGCGCAGACGCTGCGGCAGGCTCAGGTGCGCGACCCCAGCATCTCCAGAGAGGAAGTGAAGGCGTTTCTGGACGGCCTCCGGGTGAACCAGGACCGACCGCAGAGAGGCTACAACAGCTTCGTGCCTCTGGAGCCCATGAACCAGCTGCAGGTGGACCTGGCAGACATGAAGGCTTTCGGGGGCAAGCCCTACCCCTTCATGTTGGTGGCCATCGATGCGCTGACCAAAAAAGTGGCCTCGGAGCCGCTGAAGGATCGTCTTGCGAGCACCACCGCGGCGGGCATGAAGAAGGTCTTCCAAGCCCTGGGCGTGCCGGCCAACGTGTACTCCGACGACGGCTCCGAGTTCAAGAGGGAGTTCAAGGAGCTGATGGATTTCTGGGACATCGAGAAGCAGGTGACCAGGGGCCACGCCTACTTCGCGGAGCGCACCATCCGCACCATCAAGGAGGCCATGTTGCGTCGCATAGCTGCCGGAGCGGGCCGGCGGGGCCAGTGGCACCTCATGCTGCCTGACATCTTGAACCAAATCAACGGAAGGAAGCACGCTACCACGCAGGTGGCGCCGAACCTCGCCTACTCTGACCCCGAAATGGCTGAGATTGCTCTGCGCAACATCGAGCGCAGGGCCAAACACAAGGTGACCCGCCCGGAAATCAAGGTCGGGGATATGGTTCGGATCAGGGTTAAGCCGATCGAAAGCAGGGGCTCCTACAGGGTCAACGAGATAGCCTGGAGCGAAAAGGTATACAGGGTAGCCTCCGCCGAGAGCGGGGAGATGGGGGCGAGGTTTGGCTTGGAGGGGTGGCCGGAAAAGGTGGTGCATAGGGATCTCCGAAAAGTCCCCGAAAACTCAGCTCCCGAACCGCGGGGGCTGGAGGTGCAGTCCCGCCAGCGGAGGCTACAGAGAGGCCCCAGGCTCCCACCTCCCTTTTGATGCTCTCTGTGCCTCTACGATCTCTACTCTACGTCTCTACTCTACATCTCGCGACAGCTCCGCCCGCCACTCACTGACGAGCTTCTTCGCGTCGGGTCGGGGCGGGGGCCCGGGCGGCCCCCCGTGATCCAGGACCGCGTCCCACGCGTCCCACTCCCCGCTCCACGCAGCATCAGCCTCAAACCAGCGCAGGGCAAGCTCTGCCCGCTGGGCGCGCGTGGCCTGGTCATCAAGAGCCGCAGAGACGTGGCTCACCTCTCTCATGATTTCCTCCAGCTCCACGCTCGCAACGAGGCATTTCTCGAGGCGTCGGACTTCCGCTTCCTCACCGAGCAGCTGCTCCTCGAGGAGCTCGATGCGGCGGCGCTGGTGCGAGCGCTCGGCCTCAAGCAGCGCATCCTCGCGAGGCCGCTTGGTGGGAGGCCGCTGGGCCATCAGAGCAGCCGCAAGGCAGGGTGCGTCCTCGTCCGCCCACGCGGCAGGCTTTTCCAGAAGCCATGCCTGCACGCATCGGAAGGCCTTGGAGGAAGTCATCTCGAGCAGCTGCGGCGGGTTTTTTTTGAGACCATTCAAGCATTTGGGACCATTCGAGCATTTGGCGGGCTTTTTTTCTTTGCGCGAGTCCAAACTCGTCAGTGCGTCCGCCTACGAAGATTTCTGTTCTCTTCCTCGAGGATCTCGACGCGGCGCTCCAGCGCCTCACGGCGCCAAGTCTCACGGTTGCCCTCATCCTCAAGCTGAGCAGCATACTCCCGCGCCATCTGCAGCTCCGCTAGATCTCGCTCGCCGAGATCGTAGCTGCGCTCCAGCTGCCTGCGGAGACTTGTCTTCTCGCGCTCCCGCTCCTCACTGCGCGCAGTTTCAACATCGAGCTCCCCACAAAGGCCAGCGATGCGGAGCCGGTAGTACAGGCGCTCGGCCTGGAGCAGCGCATCCTCGCGAGCCCGCGCGGGAGGCCGCTGGACCATCAGAGCGGCCGCAAGGCTGGCAACGTCCTCCTCCGCCCGGATCTCGTCGAGGCGCTCCACCCGCTGACGGATGTTGCTGCGCTCCAGCTCCGCAACGCGCTGCTCCGCCTGCACCGCTCGCTTGCGGGTTTGCCGGAGGTACTCGTTCTTGCGGTCCAGCATCCAGCGGAGAGTTTTGTTGTCTCGCTCCCGCTCCTCGCGGCGCAGAGTTTCATCGAGGAGCTCCTCATCGAGCTGCGCGATGAGATGCCGCTGGTGCGAGCGCTCGGCCTCAAGCAGCGCGTCCTCGCGAGGCCGCTCGTAGGGAGGCCGCTGGGCCATCAGAGCAGCCGCAAGGCAGGGAGCGTCCTCGTCCGCCCACGCGGCAGGCTTCTCCAGGAGCCATGCCTGCACGCATCGGAAGGCCGCTGAGGAAGTCATATTGAGCAGCAATGCTTCGCTGCGGCGGTTCGAAATCATAAAAGCGAGAAAGCGAGAAGACGAGAAAACGAGAGCTCGGGATCTTTCTTTTTTCTGGTTCCGACAGTCTACGCCCAGCAGCGGCTCAGCCGCAGCGGCAGTGTCGGAGCGGGCCCCAGAGGCGGGGGCCCCACGAGGAACTCCATCACGAGGACGAAGGGCGCGGAGCCTGGCGGAGCGTAAGCGCCCAGCATCCGCAGCTGCTCCAGGTTGCGCCAGTGTCCCAGCGGGCGCGTGTTGTGAGCGTCGAGGCCGTAGACCTTGTCGTTGAAGGGCGAGAGGGACTTCTTCTCGACGGTCTCCACGGCGATCTCGTGCGCGCGGCTGCGCAGCTGCGCGAAGGCCGCCCTGCGCTCGCTGCCTTCCTCCAGCACCTCCCTGTACTCGAGATGCCGGACGTTGGTCACCGCCTTCTTGGGCACGCCCTTGATCTTGCTCTTCTCCTTGCGCGCGCCGTCGGGCTGGACCGTGAGGATGCTGTACATCTTGGAGCGCAGGCCGACGTACTCCAGGATCCTGGCGGGGAAGGTCTCGTCGCCGAGCTTGCCCAGCAGCCCCATCACCTCGATGACACGGCGGGCTTCTCCAGAAGCCATGCCTGCACGCACCGGAAGGCCGCTGAGGAAGTCATGATAGCTTTAATT